TTGAACATGAAGATCTTACACCGGAACAGAAGGACACAGTTTCAGATCTTTCCATGTCTTGGGATCTTCCGGCAGTCACCAAAACAAATCGGAGATGGCTACATAACAAACTTCTACTCCATGCAGTGAGTTCCTGCTGGTTAAGTGACAGAATTCATCGCTGTACTTGTTGAAATTATAGAATGTGTTGTGAACCCTGGCTTGTTATGTTAACACGAGAGTTTAAGTACTAGAGTTTTAATGGATTTTTATAAAGCACTTTATTGTGTTTATTAACATTTTTCCTACTGTGCCAACTTTTGTCAAATTTGGGTTAAGGATTTGGGCTGTAATATGGGTCGGTCTGTCTCTTAGGTCGTTGGGAGGACCATGCGCCAAATTAAACAGTTGAGAAAGGGACTGAAAGATGTGATGGTATGGCCCCTGCTGACATCTAGGCCGGATGTTGTACCACTTCTTTTCCCCAAAATGGCTGAAATGCAGTTCACACCCCAGGTAAGTCAGTAATTTAGTTATATTTGTGACTTAACTTGATGAATTTACGTGTATTTTCAATGACTGAGATGGATATTTTTCCATTTTCTAAGAATTTGGTCTGCATAGTCCTTCACCAAAATAAGTTCTCCCTTTTTTTAAATTACAATTTTTGTTTTCTTTAAGATGCTCCTAGAAAAAATCACATGGCCAGTTGAGGACAGTGATGATGAAGACTTTGACTTAGACACCACCTGCCGCATCACTGGCTTTCTAAGGATGTTCATTGAAACAGGTATAAACCTTATTTTCTCTCTTTACAAATGCTTCTATGTCTCATGGATAGATATGATCAATTACAGTTGAACTAAATGTCTTTAATCCATTTTATGACTTTTAGCTTCATCAGGTACCCTGGCCCAGCTGCTGACATTCTGGGTTGGCTGGGAGATGCTTCCTCCTGAACTGAGAGTGGAGATTTCTGGGGGAACCCTTCCTACGTCCTCCACATGCTTTGAAACCCTAAAGCTGCCAGCTCATTTCAAACTCTACATGGACTTTGAGAAAGCACTTGTCGCTGCCATAAAAAGTACTGGATTTGGGCTTGTTTAAGTTTTTTCAGACGTCAATTAGGGCTGGGCAATATTTTAATATTATATCTATCGTGATATAAGACTAGATATCGTCTTAAGGTGCTTTTCCATTACCAGTACCTACTTGACTCGCCTCGCCTCGACTCGCTGTGCGTCCGTTTCCCATTGCAGATTTTAGGACGAGGCGAGTAGGTACCATGTAATGGAAAAGCACCATTAGATTTTGAAGAAGTGTAATATCGTTACATGGTAAGTTTAGTCTTTTCCTGGTTTCAAAGGCTGCATTACAGTAAAGTGATGTCATTTTCTGAACTTACCAGACTGTTCTAGCTGTTCTATTATTTGCCTTTTACCACTTAGTCATTATATCCACAATATGATAGTTATTTATCCGAAATCTAAATGTGGAAGATATTTTGTGAATGCACCAATTGTCAACCTTACAATATCGTTGCAATATCGACATCAAGGTGTTAGGTCAAAAATGTGATATTTGATTTTCTCCATATTGCCCAGCCCTAATGTCAATGCATACACAGTTCAGATGAATTGACACAAGTTCAGTGTCTTTGAAAACATTAACACACTGTGCAGTAGTTGACTTTTTTTTCTTCCATTTACTAAAATCAAACTGTTCTGCACCTTCAGTGCTAACAGTACAGCATTCATGTTAGTCATTCTGTGGACCATAATGAGACAGGAAGCTTCAAAGAAACAGCTTTTTTCCCTTTCTTTTAAAAGGAAAGTAAACTTTCAGTTTTTCCTTGCTTGTTCTAACACAACAAATAAAAACATGGGTTGGACATCAGTCTAAGATTCTTGATATCACTTCCACAGTCTCTACATATAGTCTAAGTGCATCAGTAACAGAAACTCCTGGAGCTGGCAAAATTGCAACCTCTTCATCTGAGAGCTCACGGGCCAGCTGAACCTCGGGGACTGACACAGTGCCTCGATGAAGGCAGTGAGGTCCGTTCCAATCGATCCCATATTCTTCAGGAACCTGAATGGATGACAAGCATAATCAGTCTTGTACTTAAAACTAGTTTGACATGTCCTTACACAAGATTGTTATTTTTGGTCACCAAGGCAGTGAGAAATGAAATGTTACTTATTCAGTTTTTTAAAATAATACAGCTTTGCATAGTATGCACTGTAGAAACTACAGCTCACAGGTTGATGTCTTTCCATAAGCGGGCTTCCTTCACCTTTCAAAGGGGCAGAGCTCCAAATTAAAAATACATTTAAATAATGCCCATATTATTATCTACTCACTTGGAACATGCACACCTCTTGCATTCAGGTGACCACGCATTAGCTTGTAGCCGGTGTTTGGATGACTTTGTGAATTTCACTTACAATACGGTCTAACTCCTCATCATTCACAGCTGAATAGAGATCTGTCTTTCTGTACAAACAAGAAAAACACAACATCAAGTAATGTTACCTTAAACGTCATATTCTTTCCGAGTGTATGAGAGCAGCAATTCATAAACAGAAAACTCATGAATTTAGTGTAAATACCTTAAACTGTATTGTTGCATGCGCCTCCTGATGGTCCTCTTTGACACACCGAACATCGCTGCAAATTTGAACTGCGGGAACTCCACAAAGAAGTTGATGCTCCAGAACTGCACTCGGTATGTCAAACGCCAAACGCCCCGGTCCCTGTGTGTGTTGGGCCTGAAGTGCCCTGGTACCAGAGAAGCGGTGGACAACTTCTTCTAGATTTGCAATCACTCTGTGGTCGATATCTTCGTCGGAAAGTGCGGAAATGACTCCAACAACTTCAATAAGTTCCTCTGCTTTACTAGCTACATGCTCTGGGTCAGCAGGTCCTGCTTCTACATCCTCTGCTAAGTTTAAAATGTCTCTAACCAACTCCCTGGAAAGTTCACGGAGATCCTCCATTGTCTCTATCCAGGTTGGCCTACTCTACTTCAGACCAAAGCAATGGATCAGACTAAATTCGCGTTAGCCCCGCCCACTGACTTTGATGGGTCAGTTTGACAGTTTTAAGTAATTCATGAATCACTGCAATGCAGGATCATGAAATGTAAATGTAAATAGTGAAATAATTATATATGTATTTTACATAAAATGAATCGGTATTTGAATTAATTAATGATACATTTAATTACACATTTATGTATTTAATTCTAATTTTAATTAATTAATGACACATTTAATTAATTAATGACACATTTAAGTAATTATTTAATGGTGTATTTATTTATTTAATTGTGGCACTTTTAGTCCTCCATATCTAGAGGGCCTACCTAGTTTATTTTATCGACATACTTCAAAATAAGAGCTAGTTAGCCATTACTCCCCCAGGCGGTAATGCACCCTAAAGTTGGTTGCCAACCGCCATTTAAAATCCACAGAAGAAGAAGAAGAAGAAGAAGAAGAAGAAGAAGAAGAAGAAGAAGAACATTACTCCCCTTTAAATCCTCCACTCACCACCTTTAAGGCGTCTGTCTGTCTGCTGTCTGGCGGGGGCTGTGTGTTGTATGTCTGCTCCGCTGTCAATACCACACTACTAACCCAAATATTAATGCAATGCAATGGGAAAATAGCGATCATGGCTAAGAAACGCATTTTGTTAACGCTTCTCGTCCTGGTTGGCTTATTCGGAATTTATGATGGTAAGTGTAATGGTTTTCCAGTTGTTTTTATTCTGCCTGTGTGTATTTACTTGCTCGGTTTGTGGCTGGAATTTACATTGCTTAGAAATAGCACAACATGGCGCACGGATTTGGTATCAAGCAAGTCGAGTTAGCTAATTGAACCTGATTGTTTACGGGTAATTGTAATGAAATAGAGAATAAAATATGTCTGCTCCGCTGTCAATACCACACCACTAACCCAAATATTAATGCAATGCAATGGGAGTATAGCGCTCATGTTTGACGTTATGTTTAAATATTATTTATAGCAAGCTAACTAGCTGCTTGAGAATAGCATAACGTTAGCTCTCTGGCCAGTTAGCAGCTAATTGTATGGATACTTGGATCGCCTTAGTAAACATGTCAGACTGAGCACATTTTTTAGGATTTGGGAAGAACAGCCAAGGTTGTCTACCAAGGACCTTCCACCATTCTTTGATACCCATCACAAGAATCCAACAGCAGCGGTTTAACAAATTGCATTGAGTCATCTAATCAAAGTGTAATTAATACATTTAGCTGAATTCTCAAAAGCTAATATGGAAATATTGGTTTATTTATTTATCATAAACGACCAATATTCTATATCATAACATTTTAATGTGCTCACTCAGATTCCTTATAAAGTAAGGTATGAGTTTCTTATTCCCAAATGTGAGTTTATGGTTTTGTCATCATTTTCTGTGATTCTTTTTTTATTTTTTCGTATCTGCTTTTTAACAGTTTCTCTTGGTGTGTGAACTGTAAGCTCTGCACACAAGATAGCTAGTGTCGTGGTTTAAGTGCAGCTCTATACGCTTTTGCTGAGACTACAACATAATGGTTTAGCAAGCTGGAGTCTGAGGCTGACCTATTTAGCTTTCAAGAGCTGCTGTACATTGCGAAACGGGCTATTGTGTGTTTTTCTACCAATCAGCCTGAATTAGTTTATCATTACTGAATAAAATATTAATTTATGAAAAGCATAAATGAGCAAACAGAACTCCGCCTCAGTTCTCCCTCTCCCTGGTCTTTAGCGCTTTTCGTACTTGTAGAGATAAGAGGCTGCAAGGTCTATAAACACTCAGTCCTAGTCTCTCTTGATAAAGCCCTTGATCGTGCACTCATAATGTTTGAATAACATGGATGATATGGTTTGGCTCTACTGTGGTTGGGCGCTTGTGTCTTCAACGTTGTCATATCAAAACAGTGTAAACACAGATTGCATGTATACGGGCCTTTTTATTTTATTCTGGGCAGGGCAGGGCATGTATGGAGATTAAAAATGCCCAAACAATGGGGTAATGGAGATTTTCCAGTTTGTTATCTAATCTTCCGGAATGAATGGTGTTAAAAGCCTGGACTAAAATGTCACAGCTTCTCTTTGCAACTTATTGTGAAAGTTTAAGCCTATTTAAACTTTTTAGGCCTGTTTCTTTCTGTGGGCGGATTTGATTGCTCTTCTCAACTTTTGTCACTTAGCCTAATATACCCATTTAAACGTGTCATTTTCTATATGCTTTATCTGTTGAGTCTACAAAGTTTAGTAACTTTAGGAAGATCTAGTTTACCATTATGAGTTGAATAAACCCATTGTTGATGTGATCAATGACAGTCATATTTTTCTCTATGCCTTCTCTGGAAAAAAAATTAAACTCTGTGGATGGTTATGCCCCATACACATCGTGATGTATTTCAGTACGCTATACGTCATCTTCACGCAATCTCGTTCCGCTGCTACTGGACAGAAAGCATAGGGTTTCACAACGCAAGACAAGATGGAGGAGAGCCTAGTCTCTCGTCAGAGATTGCATTTATTTGGGGAGATTGCAAAATATTACCTTTTCATTCAAGACAGGAGAAACATATTGTTTCAGGGGATAATAAAACGTTTAGTTACTTTTTCCTAGACTTGTTTATCTAACTTTCTAGCAAGTCCAGCTAGTTTACAGAGCAGCAAGCTAGCTACAGTAGCTAGCTAAAGAGCTGCAAGACTAGGTTGAATATACTGTAGCTAGGGACCTCCACCTAATAATGATAATCAAAAACAAACGTAATTACATCACAAACTAAAACAGGAGGCAACAGCCAATATGTATTATTTAACATTAAATAGTACTCACTTATAGGAATAGATAGGCCTAATTGTTTACAAGTCACTAGTTCTCCCATAAAGTCATCGCCGAAAACCATATTTTCATCTTGTTCTGTGGTTTGGTAGCGTCTTGATCATTTCTGTCAACCCGTTAATGCATACAGTTTGACGCATACATTCGATAAATCCAATGTATGCACCACACAGAACGCACTGCAACTGCCTCTGCAACGCAATGCTGCAAGGCAAACGCAGTGTTCCAATGGAAACAAATGTACTTCTGGTGTACCAAAACGCAATGACACAGTCCGGTGTGCTTTGAACACACCGACTGCAGTCATTGCGCAAAATAGTATGCAGCATCATCTAGGTATGTGTGCAACACAAGTTCAACATTCACCTTCTGCCACCATTTCTGTCAACCCGTTTGTTCGAAGCCTTGAAAAGCCAGAAAATACAAACTTGACATTGTGCTTTCTAGAGGGCCTACCTAGTTTATTTTATCAAACGTAATGCTTTGAACACACCGACTGCGTCATTGCGCAAAATGGTATACAGCATCATCTAGATATGTGTGCAAGTTCAATGCTCACCTTCTGCTACCATTTCTGTCAACCCGTTTGTTTTCTGTGATACCACTCCGAAAATCGTTAAAAGAAAAATCACCTTCTAGCAGGAACAGCACCGTATAGTGGTCAGAACCTGGTAATATCAGGATGTAGGATTGGACATAAACCTAACAATGTCAACTACTAATTCCTCTGAACAAGGGGGAAAAAAACATCACCAAATTCACTAGGAATACATTACATAGGATGAAGAAACAATACTCCAAGCCGCAGCTCCATACTACTTATTTGTTGTTGGGATGGGATTGGTGTGGGGGATCCGTGGGTGGCTTTTGACCATTTATTTGGAATCCTCATGTGTTACTCATTAACCAGGTTTCCATCCAACATTGTTTTTGCCAGTATACATGTCATAGAAAAAAATTAATGACAGGCCTGATGGTAAACTTTCCAAATGTCGACAAAACAAAATACACTAGACAAGGTAAGATATTTTTATGCGAGAAATGTCTGTGGAAAAGCTTTTATGTGCAAATATTGATATAATAACCATCATATCGAAATAAACTTGGAGTCACGCGATGACATGTTGTGTGGACCTCTCGCTACAACTTGTTGGGAAAGCATGCAGTTTATTAGGCTACAGATGAAACTCTGGGCTACAGCGTATGTGCCTATACCAGAGTGGGCACACTCACAATATAACACAAAATGTTTTGTGAGAACCATCAGTTGAGTTGAAAATGCGATGGAAACCCATTTCACTTGTATTTATTATTTGGTACATGGGAATTTAACCGCAAAGGGTACCGCACTACGTCATCACGCAAAGCCTTTTATCCGCAACAAGTACATTTGATGGAAACACATCTCTGGTGGGAAAAAGCAGAGTTTAGAATATTCACATGAAAATCTGTCGCCAATTTGATTGAAACCTAGCTACTGTTAAAAATGCATTGGGTCCAAATCAGATGTTATGTACTATAGCCCCGCCGATCCATCACGAGTGGTCTGCCGACGTAATCGTCTGATGTGGTTTCAACAGGCTTCCCGTTGCGACGACCACGAAGATCCATCTGCTAGCACCGGCCCGATAGCACGCACAATCAACAGCCGCGCCACCTGCTTGCCTGTGCTGTAGCAGCCTACAAACTGCTCCCGGACTTACCTATTGCTGTTCACTGGACCTTATGATCACTCAGCTACACATCTGATGCCCGCTGGACTGTTCCTTTACACGGTACCCCATCCTGTTTAGCCTCAGCCCAAACTTTCGTCGCCATTACCAGTTGTTGTCTTAGCCCTCTCGAATAACACCTGTGATTGCGTTATGCCTCTCTCCCATGTCAATATGCCTAGCCTATTGCTGTTTGGGTTAGTTGTTATTGTACTATTTCACTGTAAAGCCCCCAGTCCCGCTCAACCTGCCTCAGATAGCTTCTTTGGCCCACCCCCCATACACGCGGAGACTGGCTCAATCGGTACCTCCAGTGATGCTACCTTTTTCATCGTTACCCAATGCTTAGGTGTACCTCCACTGTACTCATATCCTTCCATATCCTTGTCTGTACATAATGCCCTGAATCTATTCCACAACGCCCGGAAATCTGCCCCGTTTATTCTCTGTACCCAAAGCACTAGAAGACCAGTTCTTAAAGCCTTTAGTCGTATACTTATTATATTCCTCCTCTGGTGATGTAGAGGTTAACACAGGCCCTGTAGCCCCCAGTATCACTCCTACTCCCCAGGCGCTATCATTTGTTGACTTCTGTAACCGTAAAAGCCTTGGTTTCTTGCATGTTAACATCAGAAGCCTCCTCCCCAAGTTTGAGTTATTCACTGCGATAGCACACTCTGCCAACCCTGATGTTCTAGCAGTGTCTGAATCCTGGCTTAGGAAGGCCACCAAATATTCAGAAATGTCCATCCCGAACTACAATATTTTCCATCTAGATAGAATTGCCAAAGGGGGCAGAGTTGCAATCTACTGGAGAGATAGCCTGCAGGCTATCATACTATCCAGGTCTGTGCCCAAACAGTTTGAGCTTCTACTTCTAAAAATCCACCTTTCCAGAAATAAGTCACTCACTGTTGCCGCTTGCTACTGACCCCCCTCAGCCCCCAGTTGTGCCCTGGACACCATATGTGAATTGCTTGTCCCCCATCTATCCTCAGAGTTCGTACTGCTTGGTGACCTAAACTGGGATATGCTTAACACCCCGGCCGTCCTACAATCTAAACTAGATGCCCTCAATCTCACACAAATTATCAAGGAACCTACCAGGTACAACCCTAAATCCGTAAACACGGGCACCCTCATAGATATCATCCTGACTAATTTACCCTCTAAATACACCTCCGCTGTATTCAACCAGGATCTCAGCGATCACTGCCTCATTGCCTGCGTCCGTAATGGGTCCGCGGTCAAACGACCACCCCTCATCACTGTCAAACGCTCCCTAAAACACTTTAGCGAGCAGGCCTTTCTAATTGACCTGGCCCGGGTATCCTGGATGGATATTGACCTCATTCCGTCAGTAGAGGATGCCTGGATGTTCTTCAAAAGTGCTTTCCTCTCCATCTTAAATAAACATGCCCCATTCAAAAAATTCAGAACTAAGAACAGATATAGCCCCTGGTTCACCCCAGACATGACTGCCCTTGACCAGCACAAAAACATCCTGTGGCGTACTGCATTAGCATCGAACAGCCCCCGCGATATGTAACTTTTCAGGGAAGTCAGGAACCAATATACACAATCAGTTAGGAAAGCAAAGGCTAGCTTTTTCAAACAGAAATTTGCATCCTGTAGCACTAACTCCAAAAAGATTTGGGACACTGTAAAGTCCATGGAGAATAAAAGCACCTCCTCCCAGCTACCCACTGCACTGAGGCTAGGAAACACTGTCACCACCGATAAATCTACAATAATCGAGAATTTCAATAAGCATTTTGCTACGGCTGGCCATGCTTTCCACCTGGCTACCCCTACCCCGGCCACCAGCTCTGCACCCTCCGCTGCAACTTGCCCATGCCCCCACCCCCTCGCAACCCCTATTACTAGCCTGTTCAACCTCTCTTTCGTATCGTCTGAGATCCCCAGAGATTGGAAGGCTGCCGCGGTCATCCCCCTCTTCAAAGGGGGTGACACTCTAGATCCAAACTGTTACAGACCTACAGTGAGGGAAAAAAGTATTTGATCCCCTGCTGATTTTGTACGTTTGCCCACTGACCAAGACATAATCAGTCTATAATTTTAATGGTAGGTTTATTTGAACAGTGAGAGACAGAATAACAACAACAAAATCCAGAAGAACGCATGTCAAAAATGTTATAAATTGATTTGCATTTTAATGAGGGGAAATAAGTATTTGACCCCTCTGCAAAACATGACTTAGTACTTGGTGGCAAAACCCTTGTTGGCAATCACAGAGGTCAGGCGTTTCTTGTAGTTGGCCACCAGGTTTGCACACATCTCAGGAAGGATTTTGTCCCACTCCTCTTTGCAGATCTTCTCCAAGTCATTAAGGTTTCGAGCCTGAGGTTTGGCAACTCGAACCTTCAACTCCCTCCACAGATTTTCTATGGGATTAAGGTCTGGAGACTGGCTAGGCCACTCCAGGACCTTAATGTGCTTCTTCTTGAGCCACTCCTTTGTTGCCTTGGCCGTGTGTTTTGGGTCATTGTCATGCTGAAATACCCATCCACGACCCATTTTCAATGCCCTGGCTGAGGGAAGGAGGTTCTCACCCAAGATTTGACGGTACATGGCGCCGTCCATCATCCCTTTGATGCGGTGAAGTTGTCCTGTCCCCTTAGCAGAAAAACACCCCCAAAACATAACGTTTCCACCTCCCATGTTTGACGGTGGGAATGGTGTTCTTGGGGTCATAGGCAGCATTCCTCCTCCTCCAAACACGGCGAGTTGAGTTGATGCCAAAGAGCTCGATTTTGGTCTCATCTGACCACAACACTTACACCCAGTTCTCCTCTGAATCATTCAGATGTTCATTGGCAAACTTCAGATGGGCCTGTACATGTGCTTTCTTGAGCAGGGGGACCTTGCGGGCGCTGCAGGATTTCAGTCCTTCACAGCGTAGTGTGTTACCAATTGTTTTCTTGGTGAAATATGGTCCCAGCTGCCTGGAGATCATTGACAAGATCCTCCCGTGTAGTTCTAGGCTGATTCCTCAACGTTCTCATGATCATTGCAACTCCACAAGGTGAGATCTTGCATGGAGCCCCAGGCCGAGGGAGATTGACAGTTCTTTTGTCTTTCTTCCATTTGCGAATAATCGCACCAACTGTTGTCACCTTCTCACCAAGCTGCTTGGCGATGGTCTTGTAGCCCATTCCAGCCTTGTGTAGGTCTACAATCTTGACCCTGACATCCTTGGAGAGCTCTTTGGTCTTGGCCATGGTGGAGAGTTTAGAATCTGATTGATTGCTTCTGTGGACAGGTGTCTTTTATACAGGTAACAAACTGAGATTAGGAGCACTCCCTTTAAGAGTGTGCTCCTAATCTCAGCTCGTTACCTGTATAAAAGACACCTGGGAGCCAGAAATCTTTCTGATTTTGAGAGGGGGTCAAATACTTATTTCCCTCATTAAAATGCAAATCAATTTATAAAATTTTTGACATGTGTTTTTCTGGATATTTTTGTTGTTTTGTTGTTCTGTCTCTCACTGTTCAAATAAACCTACCATTAAAATTATAGACTGATAATTTCTTTGTCAGTAGGCAAACGTACAAAATCAGCAGGGGATCAAATACTTTTTGCCTCACTGTACATCCATCTTACCCTGCCTTTCGAAAGTATTTGAAAGCCAAGTTAACAAACAGATCACCAACCACTTCGAATCCCACCGTACCTTCTCCGCTATGCAATCTGGTTTCCAAGCTGGTCATGGGTGCACCTCAGCCATGCTCAAGGTCCTAAACGATATAATAACCGCGATTGATAAAAGACAGTACTTTGCAGCCGTCTTCATCGACCTGGCCAAGGCTTTTAACTCTTGTCAATCACTGCATTCTTATTGGCAGACTAAATAGCCTTGGTTTCTCAACTGACTGCCTCACCTGGTTTACCAACTACTTGTCAGATAGAGTTCAATGTGTCAAATCGGAGGGCCTGTTGTCTGGACCTCTGGCAGTCTCTATGGGGGTGTCACAGGGTTCAATTCTCGGGCTGACTCTATTCTCTGTGTATATCAATGATGTCGCTCTTGCTGCTGGTGACTCTCAGATCCACCTCTACGCAGACGACAACATTTTGTATACATCTGGCCCTTCATTGGACACTGTGTTAACAAACCTCCAAACGAGTTTCAATGCCATACAACACTCCTTCCGTGGCCTCCAACTGCTCTTAAACGCTAGTAAAACTAAATGCATTCTCTTCAATCGAACGATGCTTGCACCCGTCCGCCTGACTAGAATCACTACTCTCGGCTGGTCTGACTTAGAATATGTGGACAACTACAAATACCTAGGTGTCTGGTTAGACCGTAAACTCTCCTTCCAGACTCACATTAAGCATCTCCAATCCAAAGTTAAATCTAGAATTAGCTTCCTGTTTCGCAACAAAGCCTCCTTCACTCATGCTGCTAAACATGCCCTCGTAAAACGGACTATCCTACCGATCCTTGACTTCGGCGATGTAATTTACAAAATAGCTTCCAACACTCAACTCAGCAAATTGGATGTAGTCTATCACAGTGCCATCCGTTTTGTCACCAAAGCCCCATATACTACCCACCATTGTGACCTGTATGCTCTCGTTGGCTGGCCCTCACTACATATTTGTCGCCAAACCCACTGGCTCCAGGTCATCTATAAATCACTTCTAGGCAAATCCCCGCCTTATCTTAGCTCATTGGTCCCCATAGCAACACCCACCCGTAGTATGCGCTCCAGCAGGTATATCTCACTGGTCATCCCCAAAGCCAACACCTCCTTTGGCCGCCATTCCTTCCAGTTCTCTGCTGCAAATGACTGGAACGAACTACAAAATGCTCTGAAGCTGGAGACACTTATCTCCCTCACTATCTTTAAGCATCAGTTGTTATTTATTTTGCTCATATGCACCCCATTATCTCTATTTGCACATCTATCACTCCAGTGTTAATACTAAATTGTAATTATTTTGCACTATGGCCTTATTTGTATTTTATTTCATCTTTATTTAACCAGGTAAGCCAGTTGAGAACAAGTTCTCATTTACAACTGCGACCTGGCCAAGATAAAGCAAAGCAGTGCAATTAAAAACAACAACACAGAGTTACATAAGGGGTAAAACAAAACATAAAGTCAAAAATACCACAGAAAATATATATACAGTGTGTGCAAATGTAGCAAGTTATGGAGGTAAGGCAGTAAATAGGCCATAGTGCAAAATAATTACAATTAGTATTAACACTGGAATTATATATGTGCAAATAGAGATACTGGGGTGCAAATGAGCAAAATAAATAACAATATGGGGATGAGGTAGTTGAGTGGGCTAATTACAGATAGGCTGTGTACAGGTGCAGTGATCGGTAAGGTGCTCTGCCAACTGATGCTTAAAGTTAGTGAGGGAGATAAGAGTCTCCAGCTTCAGAGATTTTTGCAGTTCGTTCCAGTCATTGGCAGCAGAGAACTGGAAGGAATGGCGGCCAAAGGAGGTGTTGGCTTTGGGGATGACCAGTGAGATATACCTGCTGGAGCGCATACTACGGGTGGGTGTTGCTATGGTGACCAATGAGCGAAGATAAGGCGGGGATTTGCCTAGCAGTGATTTATAGATGGCCTGGAGCCAGTGGGTTTGGCGACGAATACGTATTGAGGACCAGTCAACAAGAGCGTACAGGTCACAGTGGTGTGTAGTGTATGGGGCTTTGGAGACAAAACGGATGGCACTGTGATAGACTACATCCAATTTGCTGAGTAGAGTGTTGGAGGCTATTTTGTAAATGACATCGGCGAAGTCAAGGATCGGTAGGATAGTCAGTTTTACGAGGGCATGTTTGGCAGCATGAGTGAAGGAGGCTTTGTTGCGAAATAGGAAGCCGATTCTAGATTTAATTTATTGCCTTTCCTCCATAACTTACTACATTTGCACACACTGTATATAGATTTTCTATTTTCTATTGTGTTATTGACTGTACGTTTTTGTTTATTCCATATGTAACTCTGTTGTTGTTTTTATCGCACTGCTTTGCTTTATCTTGGCCAGGTCGCAGTTGTAAATGAGAACTTGTTCTCAACTGGCTTACCTGGTTAAATAAAATAAAAATGTATAGATCAAATTATATTTCAACAAAATAATGTTGCAGGAATTCTAATCTTATCTGTTTCTAACTACTGAAATGAATTCAGAACAATCTGAAATGGTGGGTGTCAATCTTGTGCTTTTTGAGGTGGAATGACCCTAATGAAAGTTCACAGAAGTAACAAGTAAAGGTAGACCTATCAATTAGTTATATTGTTTTTACTGATATCAATTGTGTTTATGAATTATTAAGTCATTTAAAACTCTGTAACAGAATTTCTGCAATTGAGTTGGCTACAATGGGAAATCATAGTAGTCTCAAACCATAGTTGGGTCACTTGCTACTGTCCTCCCCTCCACTGGCATACTGTTTTGTTCATTTCTCTCTCCAATTAATGTCACCTTTTCCGGCTGTTGCTGACACCTACCTACCCATGAGCCCCCTCTCTTTCCATTTACTGTAACCTGCATCCTCACCCACTGAGCACCAACCGACACCGGACTTTGAAAGTCCTGTACTGTAGGGTGGAGTAGTGTTCAGTACAGTACACAGAAGAGCACATTTGAGTTGAGTACACTATAATGTGCTGAACAATACTCTACTTTACTGCACTGTACTGAACTCTACTGTATTGTACTGAAGCTCCCCACCCATTCAGCCTGTCTTTTCAAACTCCCTGGTAGTTAGACATAGGAGAAAAAGTACTTTTCAGAATGACAGTTCAGGACCTTACATTTTTCTAGACGCACTGGTGCTCCTAAATTAAAATTCCAGGTCGCAAAGCAAGATATTTAGGTGCATATGTGAGTAAAATGGTCACACTGTAGAGCCCTGCATTCAGAGCCCTGCATTCATATCCATAATTATGAATTTCTGTGTATTACAGATCAGAGACCCATGATCCATTACTGCAATTCTGTTACCGGGTGTAAATCCACTTCACTTAGTGTAGTTCAATAACCAAAATATATATATTTTTCAAACTCAAGGTGTCATGTCATACAGATGTAGGATGCTAATTTGATCACTCTTTTGTTGCTGAGAATTTTCCTGCACAGCAAGAAATGCAAACTTGTAGTGTATTCAAGGTTTAAGAAGACTTCTTCTAAAGTTTATAATTACCACTTTAAAATGTCAGACTTTATTTATAACGAAAAATGTATTAACCCATACAAGAAAATGATATTAATTCTAATCCATGTAATAATTCACATTTCCTGTTCCTGCAGGATTATTTTCCGGCTATAGCAAACTGGCTCAAATTAAGAACCTACATCTGTAGCTGACACCCCATTCTTTCTGCAGACATCTTTGAATCTTAATTCGGAGCAGATAGGCCTATTTAACAGTTTTTTTGGATAATGTGGTCGCAGAAAAAACTGAGGGAGATTTTACCAAGATTCTGTTACCAAACTTTGCATCTGCATAGTTCTTCCAGTAAATGTGTTTTTGTAAAATGTTCAGTGTAAATTGTTAAAAGTAGTCCTTATTTATAGAGTTGTGTTTTTTTAGTTTGCCATACATTTAAAGTTTTAAATTCTGAGTGTCAGCGCAATTCAGTTACAGTGGAATTGCCCTTAGGCTACATCACAATGTACAAAGCAATACAATGTGCACAGTTTGCCTCTTTTCTCCTTCTCTCCACCCTTTCTTTTCCCCACTCTCCCTCCCCCACTCCCTTCATACAGCCCTGTCACCAAACAATACCTGTACTGTGCTTGACTTCAGTAACACACCAAACCCCCACTTTTAACACAACCATGGCCCTCAAGTGTTCACTCTACCACACTATTTCTTCAACAGTCTTGACGCATCACAGCATTCTCTAAAAACGGAAGAAAAAACACATTGTTTGAAAACATTTCCTCTCACTCACTTTACTCCTACACCACCTCCTTTCTCCCAAGTAAGGCCTAGCCTGTCTGTGTATAAATTGTAAGTTGAATAGCCTATTTATTGTACAGTGGGGAAAAAAAGTATTTAGTCAGCCACCAATTGTGCAAGTTCTCCCACTTAAAAAGATGAGAGAGGCCTGTAATTTTCATCATAGGTACACGTCAACTATGACAGACAAAATGAGGAAAAAAAATCCAGAAAATCACATTGTAGGATTTTTAATGAATTTATTTGCAAATTATGGTGGAAAATAAGTATTTGGTCAATAACAAAAGTTTCTCAATACTTTGTTATATACCCTTTGTTGGCAATGACACAGGTCAAACGTTTTCTGTAAGTCTTCACAAGATTTTCACACACTGTTGCTGGTATTTTGGCCCATTCCTCCATGCTGATCTCCTCTAGAGCAATGATGTTTTGGGGGTGTCGCTGGGCAACACAGACTTTCAACTCCCTCCAAAGATTTTCTATGGGGTTGAGATCTGGAGACTGGCTAGGCCACTCCAGGACCTTGAAATGCTTCTTACGAAGTCACTCCTTCGTTGCCCGGGCGTTGTGTTTGGGATCATTGTCATGCTGAAAGACCCAGCCACGTTTCATCTTCAATGCCCTTGCTGATGGAAGGAGGTATTCACTCAAAATCTCACGATACATGGCCCTATTCATTCTTTCCTTTACATGGATCAGTCGTCCTGGTCCCTTTGCAGAAAAACAGCCCCAAAGCATGATGTTTCCACCCCCATGCTTCACAGTAGGTATGGTGTTCTTTGGATGCAACTCAGCATTCTTTGTCCTTTAAACACGACGAGTTGAGTTTTTACCAAAAAGTAATATTTTGGTTTCATCTGACCATATGACATTCTCGCAATCCTCTTCTGGATCATCCAAATGCACTCTAGCAAACTTCAGACGGGCCTGGACATGTACTGGCTTAAGCAGGGGGACACGTCTGGCACTGCAGGATTTGAGGCCTGGCGGCGTAGTGTGTTACTGATGGTAGGCTTTGTTACTTTGGTCCCAGCTCTCTGCAGGTCATTCACTAGGTCCCCCCGTGTGGTTCTGGGATTTTTGCTCACCGTTCTTGTGATCATTTTGACCCCACGGGGTGAGATCTTGCGTGGAGCCCCAGATCGAGGGAGATTATCAGTGGTCTTGTATGTCTTCCATTTCCTAATAATTGCTCCCACAGTTGATTTCTTCAAACCAAGCTGCTTACCTATTGCAGATTCAGTCTTCCCAGCCTGGTGCAGGTCTACAATTTTGTTTCTGGTGTCCTTTGACAGCTCTTTGGTCTTGGCCATAGTGGAGTTTGGAGTGTGACTGTTTGAGGTTGTGGACTGGTGTCTTTTATACTGATAACAAGTTCAAACAGGTGTCATTAATACAGGTAATGAGTTTAGGACAGAGGAGCCTCTTAAAGAAGAAGTTACAGGTCTGTGAGAGCCAGAAATCTTGCTTGTTTGTAGGTGACCAAATACTTATTTTCCACCATCATTTGCAAATAAATTCATTAAAAATCCTACAATGTGATTTTCTGGATTTTTTTTCTCATTTTGTCTGTCATAGTTGACGTGTACCTATGATGAAAATTACAGGCCTCTCTCATCTTTTTAAGTGGGAGAACTTGCACAATTGGTGGCTGACTAAATAATTTTTTCCCCCACTGTATATGTTTTATTATAGTGCCAGTGAATAACCTTGCCACACATTCCGCACAGGGCCACTTGACGTGTGTTGTGGCGTCTGTGTGTAGTCAGAGCTGCGCTCAGATCCGGTATCTTGACACAGATGCAGTTTTGGGGGTGTATTTGAAATATCATCATGGTCCTCCATTTGATCTAAAAGACTTGCATCTAGATTTATAGGAGCCATATTTCCTTTTTAAAGTGCTTTCTTAATCTTAATGGCAAATATACATGTTATGTGAAACTTTCATCAAAAATTATATAAATTCAATAACAACATACAATAACAATCTTCTTGAGTTCATGTGTGCATGTGTGCTGGATCATGGCATGTGTGTGTGCAAAAAAGGTCAGAGGTGTGACTGGATATCAAATGTCCAAAAGGTACCATGGCACTGTTCAGTATCGTAATCACCCCCATGGTAAAAGGATTTACATAGATTTGCCTTTCTTATGGGTCTATTTGAAGTCATATTTAGGCTAACTCATATTTTTGCTTTTTGAAATGTACAAATTGGGGTCGATTTTGAAATGCTCTCATGTATAAGTTAAAAATATACAGTACCAGTCAAAAGTTTGGACACACCTACTCATTCAAGAGTTTTTCTTTATTTTTACTATTTTCTACATTGTAGAATAATAGTGAAGACATCAAAACTATGAAATAACACATATGGAATCATGTAGTAACCAAAAATGTGTTAAACAAATCAAAATATATTTTGTATTAAAGAAAAACCCTTATGAGTAGGTGTGTCAACTTTTGACTGGTAGTGTGTTTATATAGATATATGCTCACCCCTAATGCATCATCTAGTGATGCCCTTTTACAGTGTGTGTGTGGTCTGTATGAGTCAAGGCCACAGATATGTCATTAAGAAAGGGTTTTCCCCCTCTGACGTAAATTAGAATTGTCCCTGTACTCCCACAGCATAGTAGCTGAAACTGAAAGACCCCCTCAGATAAAAACGGGCAGATGTGTGTGTTAATATCTAAACCACACCAAATAATCCCCCCCCCCCCCCCCCCCCCAAATAACTTCCCTCCACCACTCAAGCCCAGGGGAAGCTTTAAACCACAGCTGTTCCTTGTGCCAAGGTTGGGAGGTGAGAGGGTTCATTCCCTTTTGAAAAAAGAAAATATAAAAAATCCCTGACCTTTTAATTTGGCATGTACGTGCCTGTTGATAAACAGCATCAGAGTAAGGAAGCTTAAAGGCAAACAGGTAATTGTGTGTGTTTGTGAAACAGTATGATTTGAGATGTTGTTTGAAGAAGAGCGGTTACAGTGAGTGTGACCAACTCACGTTCCCTAGGTTTGTGATACTTGGAAAGGGAGAGGGATTTAGACAGAGGATGAGAAGGGAGGAGCTGGACAACAAGGGAGCTGGACTAGGTAGTAAGATAAGAAAGCGTAGTTCATGGGATCTGGGAAACGGCCATGTAATTACATTGAGAGACATGCATTTGTAAAATGCTTGCAGCAATGTCTTTTACCACATGAGTCATTCAGTCATTTAAAGAGGTCTGTTTTTCCTTCTTATCTCATTTTCTATCAACTGCATTATCAACTTTTCCGTAGCCGCTCATTGATTTTCAATGTTTTCCCCTCTCAAATTGAGATGATGCATCCTGTCTGAACTCCAAGGACACCTGTGTTAGGGAGTCCTTGGAGTATCTGAGGCCAGTCTTCCATAGGTACTATAACCAGTGGGGCAAATCTAATCTGGGTGTCAGGTAGCCTAGAGCATTGGGCCAATAACGTTACAAGTTCGAATCCCCGAGCCAACAATATGAAAAGTCCACCGATGTGCCCTTGAAATAGGACAAATATAAACACTCACCAAATTATTATTATTATAATCAGATACAAGTTTGGGCCTCCTACCTATTAACTATCAGGTTTTACTGTCTGTTTGAAAATGGGAACTCTTTGAACAGATCTCGCTATGGCCTTTATTGATCAAAGTACAGCATGTTGACATGGAAACATATTTTGTTCCAGCATAGCCTACATGTTCTCACCGATCTGATTAGCATGTTTTCTAATACTAGAGTTTCTCAGGATTGTAGTCTTGCCTCAATGGTCAATCCAACATGTGAACGTAAATATGCCTCCAAACATTCTCACGGACTAAGTACCATGTGAGAAACACACTGCCTGCCTAAGATCACTGAACCTGTGTCTAGAAAGCCAACTAGCTATTGCTATAGAATCAGAAGACTGAGAGCACAGATACAATAACAGCAGCATATGCACCGTGCACAAGCATGCACACGCACACACACTTCCTTTGTATCGAACGGAGTGGGATAGTCGGAGGTAGGGGATGGGGTGAGTAGAGTGGTGTGTTTTTCTGCCTGGTGGCGTCTGAGTGTCTTAATGGGTTATTCCCTGTCTGGGTGCTGCCTGCCTCGCGCGGCGCTCTTTCCGCCCTCCTCGTCTAGAGTAACACCTCCAACCTCAACCCCAGTTTACAGGATGTCTGCAAGTAATAATCCCCTTTCACTTTTTAGCTACTTTACTTTAGCTCTCTCTGTTTTTGAAGCCTTATATTTACAGGGTTCTGGTTACACTTTTAATTAGGCTTCTAGCAACATTTAAGCCTGTTTATCAATATATTTGCAAAAGGACTAACCTTCTGGAAGAATTCTGTGTTTTACATTGTGAAACCAAAAAGCTCATGCTTCCTTCCTTCCTGGGAATGTTTGGGAAATACAAATGCAACAGAGGGTCTGGTGTTTACATTGAGGTCATTTTATAGACTACGATGGAAGAAAACAAATATCGGCATTTCACATCGTGTCACTGTCTAGACTGGGTTAATGACAGTCACAGCTGCTCACACAAGTCAACCCCCTCCTCTGTACAAACCACTACTACAACCCCCTCCCCTTCGCCCCAAAACCCACCAACGTTCTCTACCCCCCCCCCCCCCCCCCCCCCCCCCAAAAAAAAAGCCATCGCCGCCGGGGTTTAAAACACATTGAACGCCCCTTCTCTGCCTTTACTTTTATTTAATTTTTTCCTCCCCCTTGCCATCTAGTTTTCAGGACTAGGCTGCCTGCGGCTAATCCCAAACCTCCAGTACAGACAACAAACTCCTAAAAACTTTAGGGGTTCCCCCTTTCGTCTTATCCCCGCTCCCTGTACTCAGGAAGCTGACCTGGAGGATGGCTTAACCCAACAACTACATTCTTGGTTCACTCCCCTACCCCCACTGATCTCAGCTCAGTCTGGGTTGGTCAAATTCCCTGTAATCGCCACACAAAGGGCCAGTGTGATGTTGATTAAGGATTATGAAATTGTATGGGCAAAGTCCACTTTTGACTATAGTAACACTGTCAGTAGAGCACCACTATTTAAAAGCAAGCTGTCTGCACTAAACAGAGAGACCTTTTGTCTTTGAACCGCACTTCCCTCATGTATGTCTACCATTCTAGAGGCTGTATGTTGAGAGTATCACATTACCCAGATGTCTTTGAACTTTCTTGTGATGTCTGCATGTGCAATAACTTGTAAAATTGCTTCTCCTTCAAAGTGTGTGTGTGTGTGCGTCCTTTCTGTGATCTGGTTCACCCAAAGAGACCTCACTGCATGCTGTGCTGACCTTGCTGTCTGACAGACCTGTGAAAATCTCTCAAGCCCCCCACACAGATGTCTACATTTACATTTACATTTACGTCATTTAGCAGACGCTCTTATCCAGAGCGACTTACAAATTGGTGCATTCACCCTATAGCCAGTGCACCACTTTACTTTTTTTTTAGGGGGGGGGGGGGGGGTTAGAAGGATGACTTTATCCTATCCCAGGTATTCCTTAAAGAGATGGGGTTTCAAATGTCTCCGGAAGGTGGTGAGTGACTCCGCTGTCCTGGTGTCGTGAGGGAGCTTGTTCCACCATTGGGGTGCCAGAGCAGCGAACAGTTTTGACTGGGCTGAGCGGGAACTATGCTTCCGCAGAGGAAGGGGAGCCAGCAGGCCAGAGGTGGATGAACGCAATGCCCTCGTTTGGGTGTAGGGACTGATCAGAGCCTGAAGGTACGGAGGTGCCGTTCCCCTCACAGCTCCATAGGCAAGCACCATGGACTTGTAACAGATGCGAGCTTCAACTGGAAGCCAGTGGAGTGTGCGGAGGAGCGGGGTGACGTGAGAGAACTTGGGAAGGTTGAACACCAGACGGGCTGCGGCATTCTGGATGAGTTGTAGGGGTTTAATGGCACAGGCAGGGAGCCCGGCCAACAGCGAGTTGCAGTAATCCAGACGGGAGATGACAAGTGCCTGGATTAGGACCTGTGCCGCTTCCTGTGTAAGGCAGGGTCGTACTCTCCGAATGTTGTAGAGCATGAACCTGCAGGATCGGGTCACCGCCTTGATGTTAGCGGAGAACGACAGGGTGTTGTCCAGGGTCACGCCAAGGCTCGGGCAGTCCTTCCCCGGGAGGAAGAGCAGCTCCGTCTTGCCAAGGTTCAGCTTGAGGTGGTGATCCGTCATCCATACTGATATGTCTGCCAGACATGCAGAGATGCGATTCGCCACCTGGTTATCAGAAGGGGGAAAGGAGAAGATTAGTTGTGTATCGTCAGCGTAGCAATGATAGGAGAGGCCATGTGAGGATATGACAGAGCCAAGTGACTTGGTGTATAGAGAGAACAGGAGAGGGCCTAGAACTGAGCCCTGGGGGACACCAGTGGTGAGAGCACGTGGTGCGGAGACAGCTTCTCGCCACGCCACTTGGTAGGAGCGACCGATCAGGTAGGACGCAATCCAAGAGTGAGCCGCGCCGGAGATGCCCAGCTCGGAGAGGGTGGAGAGGAGGATCTGATGGTTCACAGTATCAAAGGCAGCAGACAGGTCTAGAAGGACAAGAGCAGAGGAGAGAGAGTTAGCTTTAGCAGTGCGGAGAGCCTCCGTGACACAGAGAAGAGCAGTCTCAGTTGAATGACCAGTCCTGAAACCTGACTGGTTTGGATCAAGAAGGTAATTCTGAGAGAGATAGCAAGAGAGTTGGCTAAAGACGGCACGCTCAATAGTTTTGGAAAGAAAAGAAAGAAGGGATACTGGTCTGTAGTTGTTGACATCAGAGGGATCAAGTGTTGGTTTTTTGAGAAGGGGTGCAACTCTCGCTCTCTTGAAGACGGAAGGGACATAGCCAGCGGTCAAGGATGAGTTGATCAGCGAGGTGAGGTAGGCGAGAATGTGGCAAAGAGCTTCCTAGGGTTAGAGGCTTGGAATTTAGAGTGGTAGAAAGTGGCCTTAGCAGCAGAAACAGATGAAGAAAATGTAGAGAGGAGGGAGTGAAAAGATGCCAGGTCCGCAGGGAGTCTAGTTTTCTTCCATTTCCGCTCCCTGCCCATGTCTACTGAACTGGGTTGATATTGTGTGATTTTTATCCAAAAACCTGTTTCAGGCTAGGAGCTCAGGTGAAAGAGTTACGTGAGGTGCAGGTTATTAACTGTTTATGGCATTGAAGGAAAGTCAGTCACAAAAGTAGGCTAGAAAAGTGTAACTTACCTAAATGTTAACTTTTCGATAAGTTCTGCTGATCACTCAAATCTTTCTCTTTTCTCCTTAGCTAGCTAAAATAAATGAAGGCTCTGTCCTGTTTAGAAACAGAACTAGGCTACGTTAGCTTGAACTAGCTACTTGCTTTAGCGTTGGCTGGCTAGCTAGCTATGAAACTTGTGGACAAGAGGCTAATTAGGAGGAGAGGAATATTATGAAATGTTTGAGAGGAACCTTCAAACAATTTAAAGAAAAAAATGCCATTAAAGCTATCTCCATTTTAAAGTAATACATTTTCTTATTCTTTTGATGTTTGGAAAAAATGTAAAGCTAATATTTGTTATTTACCGCCACCAGCAGTGCTGGAGTCTTGAACCAAATCGTGCGCGTCACCAGATGGCAGTGATATAGTTTAAAGCCATCTACAAACTAGGCAAACCAATTTAAAGAAAAAGACAAGTTAGGAATCCCCGCCTAGTTGACTACTTTAAAATGGTGGAAGCCCTCAATGTCCAAGCAAAAACGGGTTATTTTCAAGTAGAGATCTCAATCCATCTCTGGAATGGCTACAATTGTTTCCCTGCCCGCCGCCGAACGTGTCTTTTGAAATGGCCTGCTTTGGCGAGCAGTTTGATTACCGTTGATACTCTATTTCTGGGATGAACCACCTCTGTAGGGTAGGGGTGTTGTTGCACTGTCTTGTACTCTTGTGATTTTAAAAACACCATTAGCAAATAGGGTCAATTTAGTGACAGTCTGGGATAAAAACATGTTTGTCCCCATCTGGAATGGTTTCAAACAACACATCTCTCTGCGTGTGCTTAGTTTTGTGAAATGCTGCCATTTGGGGCATGATAAATAACATTTCTGAGAGGTATAGTTCAAAAGATTATTAAAGGTTCATCAAACTAAAGGGTTGCTTTCCTCTTCAACAACTAAAGACTTGTACAATGCACACAATGTCAACTTAGTCCTAGTCCCTGTGACCCAAAATACTCAATATGTTGAATCACTCTCTGGTACCTTCTCTATCCTGCTTTATCAAAAGATACAGTTCTCTTAAAATGTCGGGCTATTTTCTAATAAACTCACTGGCTATTATTTCGAAGTGTCCTTAGAAATGCAATGTGTTCTCCAAAAGAAAAGCTGAAAGAGTTTGGGTATTCTCTGGGAAATGGTGTTCATTTGGAGGAAGATTTTAATAAACACACCGTAAATCTGTTTTTCTTTAGTCCTATGCTTTAGCTTACAGGTGTATACTGGTGCCAGTATAAAAGAAATAGAGCCCGTACACTCAAGCTCCACCATGTTCTATGAGAATAATAGAACATGGTGGAGCTTATGAGTGTACGGGCTCTATTTATTTTATACTGACTTTTTTTCGGCCCTGCACCCCACTAAAGGATGTGCGTTTGATCACGGTTGACTAAATTGGTGCCAGGGAAATGTAATGGTCAAAGGGCCCCTGTGTGGTACTGCTGCTGTCTTTGAACGCCCTCTGCTGTATATAAACTTGCATCTCATACAGTGGAGGAGTGAAATTGTCTTGAAATGGTTTTTATGTGGCAGTGCCGGACACAACTTCTTATACAATTACAGCTTTGAGCGTGTTTTGAGCTTTACCCAAACCGTTATTCAAAAATATTGAAATAATAATATATATATCTCTCTCTCTCTCTGTACAGCTTTGTGGTGTAACTGCACCACAGCCCAGTGTGAAAAAACTGGCTCCCAGTGTGAGACAGACGGGGCCTGCATGGCCTCCACGTCCTTCATCGACGGCCAGGAGCAGCACATCCGTATCTGCATCACCCGGGACAAGCTGGTGCCCCCGGGCCAACCCTTCTACTGTCTGAGCGCTGAGGGCCTCCTCAACACACACTGCTGCTACACTAACTACTGCAACAGCCTCGACCTCAAAGTGCCCTCTGGTGAGCCACACTCTCTCTCTCTCGCTCTGGCTCGACACTGGTCATGGAATATAAGCTGTTCACCACCACACACAAGCGCATGTCCCAGGCTGCTTATACACACCCCCACGTTACGACCCACAGGGCTAGGATGTCTGCTACAATAGAGGACAAGGGTCTCAAACACAGTTCAGTGAGTTGTGTTACGTTTACTGATTAAATGTGAAATATGTATTTACTCTTATTCTTTCTCTTCCCTCTCTCAGTGACGTCGCGGCCGGGCCTGGGGGGCGGCTTTGGCCCTGATGGGAAATGGGGTCTAGTGGAGCTGGTGGCAGTGATCGCAGGGCCCGTCTTCCTGCTGTGTGTGCTGCTAATCATGGGTGTGTTCCTGTTCCAGTACCACCAGAGGGCCTACAGCCACAGGCAGAGGCTGGAGGTGGAGGACCCCTCCTGTGACCACCTCTACATGGCCAAGGACAAGACCCTGCAGGATCTCATCTATGACATGTCCACCTCTGGATCAGGCTCCGGTCAGTACAGCAAAGCTAGGGCTCTGATCTATTCAAGCAGTCATAAAACAGGAAAAAATGTAATTAGTGACTGTAGCTTTAATGATGTCTTCCATAGAAGAAAACAAACTCCATAGGGGGAAATGTGGTTGATATTCTGCGGTTGATATAAGGCATGTGTCACAATGTGATTGTCTGACTATATATTCCTCTTTCTTTTTGCCTTGTCTCTGTGTCCCGTATGCCTCTGTCCTCTCCGTCCTCTGTCTCTGTGCAGGCCTCCCTCTGTTTGTCCAGCGGACAGTGGCCAGGACCATCGTGCTGCAGGAGATTATAGGGAAAGGGCGTTTCGGTGAGGTGTGGCGGGGCCGCTGGAGAGGAGGAGACGTGGCGGTGAAGATCTTCTCGTCCAGAGAGGAGCGCTCCTGGTTCCGCGAGGCCGAGATCTACCAGACCATCATGCTGCGTCACGAAAACATCCTGGGATTCATCGCCGCCGACAACAAAGGTAACAAAACACTGGCCCTCGTCCTATGACATCACAACAAATATTCCCCTTCAGGTCAGTTTTTCAGGTCAGGTCTGAAAAATTGGTCTCTGAACTTATCGTCCATCTCTCTTTCTGTCATAGATAATGGCACATGGACCCAGCTGTGGCTGGTGTCAGACTACCACGAGTACGGCTCTTTGTTTGACTACCTGAACCGCTACTCCATCACCATTGAGGGAATGATCAAACTGTCACTGTCCGCTGCCAGCGGCCTGGCACACCTGCACATGGAGATCCTGGGCACACAGGGTGAGTGTGTGCCTCTGTAAATGTAGGCCATGTTTCCTAGGCGTTAGGAAACTCCAGCTCTCCCATTCAGCCTGGTGGCAGTCTGGGTTATGGATCTGCCCAGTATGAGTTACAAAGCAGCCCCTCTAAACTAAAGCATCTCTGAGTGCACTGACTCAGAGCAACCCAGACCAACAGAGATTTTCCATGACAGGTCATTCAGGAAGAACATTTACATTTTTGTCGACTGTAGCATACAATGGTAAACTGCAGATATCCATGATTAATGTTTGATTTAAATGAATTGGACAACATAAAACACAAGTTTCACACAAACATGTTAATGATCAGTTACATTAGTTCCATTGATTGCCAGGAATGCAGTAATTGTCAGGTAGGCTAACTCTCTTGGCCCTACTCTAGGTAAGCCTGGTATTGCCCACCGGGACCTCAAGTCTAAGAACATCCTGGTGAAGAAAAACAGTACCTGTGCCATCGCTGACTTGGGGCTGGCCGTGCGCCACGAGTCCACCACCGACACCATAGACATCGCCCCCAACCAGAGAGTGGGCACAAAGAGGTACAAACACACACATATCCTCAACCTTAAGAAGTACTTGATTTCTCAACTTCACCCACAGACCTTACAACCCTCATGCCATCCCAGCTTAATAAAAACACATTTCTCTCTTTCAGGTACATGGCCCCTGAGGTTCTGGATGAGAGTATCAACATGAGGCACTTTGATTCGTTTAAGTGTGCAGACATCTACGCTCTGGGGCTGGTTTACTGGGAGATTGCACGCCGCTGCAACGCTGGAGGTCAGACAGGCTCCCCCTCAGCACATTCTGTCTGGTCCCAAATGGCACCCTATTCCCTATATAGTGAACTACTTTTGACCAGGGCCCTATAGTAATGCACTATATAAGGAGAAGGGTGTCATTTGGGAAGCATCTCTATCTCACTGTACTTAAAAGTTTAATTCACCATTGATTAGAAAGATATTGGACCTTACCTGACCTTTGACCCTAGGTATCCACGAGGAGTACCAGCTACCGTACTTTGACCTGGTGCCCTCTGACCCCTCCATAGAGGAGATGAGGAAGCTGGTGTGTGACCAGAAGCTACGGCCCAACGTGCCCAACTGGTGGCAGAGCTACGAGGTAGGGACATGTAGATATGCATGCTCATTTTAAGGTCAATCAAACAATCCTATTATGATAACACAGCAGTCACTCACTAATATGAAAGTGCCACTGGTTTTTTATAAGTATTAAATTATATGCTTGTGTATTTTAAATGAAGTATGTTCATTTGGCAGGCTTGTTCTCTTGGGATGCATTGGTGGTTTTGATAAGCTTGTTTATCCCTGTGCATATCTGCACCATATTTGCATGTATGACTTCCTCTAACCTAATTTTCCTCATGTTCGCTCAACCATTGGTCCAGTTTTCCTGACCAGAGCTTTAGATAGATAAAGTAGTTATCTTCCTCTTTTGTCTCTCCCTCCCCGTCCCCCAAGACCCTGCGTGTGATGGGGAAGATCATGAGGGAGTGTTGGTATGCCAACGGAGCCGCCCGCCTTACTGCCCTGCGCATCAAGAAGACCCTGTCCCAGTTGAGCGTCCAGGAGGATATCAAAGTCTGAGAGGGCCCTATCTGAAAGACCAGAGGAGAGCACTGGGGACCCTGTCCTGCGCTAAAGAATACTGAGAGAGAAAGATAGGGGGACAGGGTCTTTTCAAAGAACGCACAAGCTAGAGAAAGAAAATAAGAATGCAATGACGAAAGCAAAATGTTAAAAGAAAAACATTACATGAAAACTCTCCTGCCAGTTTTTTTTAAAGCCACCACCGCCTGAGTTGTGACAAGCCCTACCTCGCCTATTCAGCCAAAACTACTGACAACCCCTGTCATTCCCTTGCCCCAACATATCCCACCATTCTGACCCACAAACCTGTCCCTGCAGCCTCCCTTCTCCGTTATATTCCTACTAAAATGGCTGCCGACTGCAATTACTGATACTACTTCTACTACCGATAATGCCCATGTTAATCTCAATGGCAGGATTTACACTGAGTGTACAAAACATTAAGAACACCTTCCTAATATTGGGGTGGAACCTCCCCCCCTTGCCCTCAGAACAGCCTCAATTAATCTTGACACACACAAACCGGTGCGGCTGGCACCTACTACCATACCCCATTCAAAGGCACTTCAATCTTTTATCTTGCCCATTCACCCTTTGAATGGCACACATACATGTCTCATGGCTTAAAACTCCTTCTTTAACCTGTCTCCTCCCCTTCATCTACACTAATTGAAGTGAATTTAACAGGTGACATCAATAAGGGATCATACCTTTCACCTGGATTCACCTGGTCAGTCTATGTCATGGAAAGACAATGTTTTGTACACGCAGTGTATACTGTATACAACTGTAGTTAGGAAGAGGATGTGTGTAATTTAATTTTATACAATATTTTTTATTCGATTCACAAGTACCTTTCCCCAAAGACTGTGAAAAGACACTAATGGTTTTACCCTATACATTATTATTATTATTATTATTATTATTGTTATTTGTTTGTCTTTATACTGTATCAATGCCATGTTGAATCGCTGTTGGCAGATGTCTGACTGTTTTCAATTATGATTTCTTTGTCAGGGAGTGTATATAGGGGGAAGATAAGGTCCGTCTTTGAAAACTGTATACTGATCTCTCCGTTGTCCATACACACTGAGAAATTAATTTTAAAATCCATGAAGACCAAGTCTTCCTCATTAATGGGGAAATGTTATGTATGATTTATGGTAGCAGTGGTCTGTGAGTCACAGAGATCAGCTTACTGGTACATAGGTTTACAGCAACTATGTTTCCCATTACAACAACCACTGTTGTGTTTTGTAACTCCTATTGCCTACTTAGAGGCAGGAATGGTCCATACAAACACCTGGCTCTATGGTATTTAATGACGATGGACTGTATAGCCATTTCGCGCGCACACACACTCTCTAATGGTGGGTTGCTGTTATGAATTCGATTTTCTTTCCTCACAATACTTCCATGTATGTTTCCCCTCAGGTTATATTCTCCCTGGCCAAGCATAACCACAATAACCGTTTAAGGTGAGACTGTGTATATATTACCCTTTTTGATTTGAGTTTCCATTGATATTTGAATAATGTTTTAGAACATTTGACAACAGTTTAACGCTGTTAACTGTTCTTGGATGGGAGACAATGGGTGGGGCTTATTGGTGCTGTCAATCATCCACTGATAAACCAATGTAATATCTCCAAAGCAACACTACTGTACACTGTCATTGAAAGTGCATACTGAGTCCCTCCTATTTGATGTCTCACATTACTATAGAACAGTATTTAATTTTGAGTCAATATTCCTCTCCATATTCTTCAATTCTACTCCATCTATTTTATGTCCTTGATATGCAAATTGTAAATAGTTTGTATAATGTATGATGATTCATCTCATGTCAAATCTTATCACAATGAATGTTTTCAGGAAAACAATATGTACTGTTAAAATTGTCGCTTTATTTTATTTTGTTGACCACTAACTCAAAAGGTACTGCGGCTGTAAAGCATCCTTCCTTGTGTTCTTAATCCTGCCAGTTTGCTGTGAGTTCCTAGAAAAGGCTCTGCAGGGCCAATGTGTGCATTACTAACTCCACAGCAGCACAACCAAACCGTTCAAGTTCTCAAAACCCCTCACTGTTTTACTGCAGATTACACCAGTGAAAGCAGAGGGTGTTAATATGTTCATTAAGTGTTTTAATTACAGTTCCTCATATTTGGTGAGGATTCACCAGACCCTCTGTTAAGGGTGCTTATTCAGTGTGGCTGTAGCACAAAAAGATTGGGGTTTAACCTTGTGAAAAAATAAATACTACTGATACTTATCACTGCTGTTCCACAGGAAATACTGTATGTATGACCTGTATTTATTTTATTTGTTAGTTTATGATCATGTCATGCTCACCTGTACTGTATATTGATTTGTTTTTTTATAGTTATTGGGAGATGTCCAAGAGGACACGGCGTGTGTACATGTTCTTCCTGAAAATGTGGTTGCTTATGTTTATGGCTATGAGTGGGAGGCGGGACCTGGGTGTTTGTCTGCATACCGTTAGGCAGATGGGTGGTGAGATTGTCCATCTTTGGTCAGAGAGAAATCCTATGTAAATGTCATAGGCCATGGTTGGGATGCGTCTCTATGGCCTTGTTTTGAGCACACACTGTTATTAAGGGGGAGTATGACAAGATGAAATGCTGTTGTATTGCACTATGGAGTGTTTAATGAAGCACTGAATTATGAACACCCAGGTCTCTGTCCAGACATCTGGACAAAAATCAAGCTTTTTAGTCCTGAAAAGGTTTTCACGGTTTTGTTTCCAATCATGTATATAGGTACTATTATATAGCCTAGAGTAATAAATACAACAGTTTTCCTAAGTTGTTTGTCTGTTTATTTTACTCACACATACCAGTATGTACACCGAATGCAAAAACTATTTCCATTAGAGCCTTGGTGTATGCATCTTCCAACCACTCATTCAAATCAGAAGCAAAGTTCTAGTTTAATGTCTATCCCGATTCATGTTCACATAAATGTGTGGTCAACACAGCAGTCATCCCATTACCGTAAGTTTGTGTTGCATCACATCCTGCTCTTCCCACATCCTCCAGCTGACCTACACCCACAGTTACACATCAACCCTACTGCTCCACCAAGACAAAACACATTCAAAAGTACATATGTAAAACAAACGACAGAACACTACAGAAAACCAGTACCATGTAAGAGAAACAATATTTATTGCTCATGCATTAAATTACCATTTCAATTCACATTAGTAGAAAAAACTGCATTTACATACTTGTACATCTTATTCATACCTTGAAAATGTACTGAGTCAATGGCCCAAGAAAGTCCCTTTCATACATGGTTTGCCCTCTGAGAATGTAAAAAGGACAAGGAAATCACTTTTAGTAATGAATGGCTAAAATGGAATCCTATAACAAGGTGATAATGGAATAAAGTCATGACAAAAAAGGGACTGTCCAAAATGTCTACTGCTTCAACGATATACCCCCAACACAATCAGGATGAATATCTCAGAAGCACTCAGAATATCCAATCATAAGACAGGCAATGGTTCACAAGCAAAAGTGACCGAATCCATCATGATCAATCCACACGCTCACACTGCATGTTGTTGAAAACTTTCTAAAGAAATCTTGTTGGGAAATGAGTAAAACTTAAAGGCAAAATAATCTCATCTAGCTCTAGAAGGATTTTGAGGAACAACGCTAAGCAAACCCTAAAAACACAGACTCATGTTACTGCCACAACCATTTCTCCAGTCTTCTGGTCAGAAAATGTGAGTGTCAAGTCAAACAAGGACACACTGAACACAACCATAAAAACACTCCAATTCACATGAGCACTTTACAAACTGAAGAGGAAATAAGAAAACATTCTGAAATGTACGCTATGCCAAATCAGAAACAACACGCAATTACATAAATAGTCGGTGGTTTTGAATCGATATATAAGAAATAAAACTAATGACATCTACAGCAGTTCCATCTCGGACATTCCAGACTTCACCTACTGTAACCAAAACAGCGGAGTTGCTATGGTAGCTTCCAGTACTAATATATATAGTTCCTCTGTGACATACATGACCTTGTGATCCATGATTGGCTAGTTGTGCTTTATAGACTCCAGCCCTATAAGGATGATGGGAAAAGGAATGCTGCTCAGTTAAGAGCCAGGGTGGAAAGTAACAGACTCCTCTCTCCAGTGTCTCTACAGACAAAATGTGAGAGAACGGGTAGGGAATGGATTTGTCTGAGAAGTGGATAATTGATCCCCTTCACATAATTAGACATCATTCCTGTACTGTATAGGTCCACCACCTGCACCGAGAGGAGAGAGACTAGGTTGTGTTGGGCCGCCCAGAGTGAACAATGGACATAAAGCTCCACTCCATTGGCCAAACCTGGTCCTGCTTCTTGTTTGGGTATGTTATGTTGCTTGGGTTTTGGCTTGGTTTAAAGTGTCGCTTGGTACTGTATGTGTCTATATTTCTGAATTGAGAAAGTCAATGGAATTCACATTTTTGTGCAGAGAGAGAACGAGATCCTCGTGTTCAAGACGTACATTTGTACAGGAGGGAATATGTTGACAGATTCCTATCTTTCCCTCTCCCACATCACTCCTCTTTCTTCCTCTCCTCCAGGATCCTCCTCCTCTCTATCCTTCCTCATCTTTTTGGAGGAGTCTCCCTTCATCACTCCCTCAAGCAGTTCCTGAAATACAAACACCAGATGAATCTCTTTAGTTCACCTTGAAAATTATTTAAATCCTTTAAAACGACAAAACAATGAACAGGTAAGACATTGCCTCCCAGGGACTGAGTTGAAACGTAATGACATTCACATTGTTTTCATTTGATTCATCAAGGTCAGTGCATAGAGCAGGTTTGTGTTTACCCTTGTCTCCGTCTCCATTAGTGAGCACCAGTGCCTGGAGGATGTCGGAGAGAGAGACGATCCCCTTCACCACCTCCTGCTCATCAACCACCACCAGCCTGTGCACCTGAGAGAGAGAAGAGAGAAACACAAACCATAGGTTACACAAACTAAAGGCTTTATCAGTTTTTCCACCTTCAAGTAAGGTTATGTTGACTTAGTAATGGCAAGGTTAGATCTCAGCACTGGTGTATATTTTACATTATGATTGTATGTACTACTTGTATTGACATTGACTAACTCCCAAGAAACTGTTTAAACTGTGGACCCAAACAGTAATACAATTTGTATACACAGGCGTCTCCATCTCTCTCACCTCTGCCTCCACCAGTCTGTTGATGATGGACTCCAGCGTATCGTGTGTACTGCAGGTGAGCACTCCCTCAAAATACTGAGAGCGGTGCTGCAGGGCTTTGGTCACAGTCACGTCCAGGTTGTTGTACGTCTTCTCTGCTGCTAGGTTCTGTGTGGGGGACATTATTACTTCTCAATGCTGCTTGTGTTCAGTACTATATTTGGATAGCAGAGATGAAAACACACAAAGACAGACACATACTGTCATCTATAGGTTAATTGAGTCCAGTGCAGAGAGCCCACGTGCTCCCGTTTCCCCAGGCTGATGGTTAATAAACCTGTCAGTCCGCTGGTCGATAACAGCCCACAGGCTCTGTATACTGCTGGCCCACTGGATAAGATACCCATTGATCTAGAACAGGAGAGCCTTACTCTGGTCTGCATTGAATTCCTTGCCTTTATAATATACTCAACGCACAAGGATACAGACAATTCTGGTTACTGTCTCCTGCGGTCTTTGTTTCCTCTCTTTGCCCATCTCTCAAACACCCACAATGAGCTAAAACGACAATATTTTCTGCTGACCAGTGACTATACTGTTTAAATATGGCTCATTGGTAGCACAGCTGTCCGGTACTTACAATGACATCAAATTTGGAGTAAATGTCCACCACTCGTCCTGTGTGTGAGAGAGAGACACACGAGCACATGAGTACTACATACCATAGCAGGGTCAGAAATCATATTTAACCCTTCATTCAACAAACTGTCCCCCCTTATTCACCATTGTCATCGACGACAGGCAGGGCAGACACTCTCTGCTCCACAAAGATGCCCAGTGCTGTGTAAAGAGGTGTGTCAGAACGCACCACTGCAATCTTATGGAATGTTCCGATGCCCAGCTCCTCTAGAGTCTGGCCTAAGAAAGCAGGTTTCGGCATCTCCGATATCTGGGAATAATAACACACAAGGTTCCACTAATGTAAGTGGCTTGAAAAATCACACAGAAATTAAACACAGTATTTTACCTAACTCCAGAATCAATAAACATTGGGGTGTGGATTTCATTAACAAGGCCTACAGTCCTAGAACTGCTTGTCTTGCCTTCTTTACTGCTGAGAATGAGACATTGAGATGTCAAGGAACAGCGGGTGATAAAACGTGGTGAAAGAGATCACAAAAGAGACTCACAAAGAGCTTGAGGAACTTGAGGATCCTCTTGTGAGTGAGGATGTAGAGAGTGTTCCCTGTCAGAGGGTCGATCACAGGCAGTCTGTGGATCTTATTCTTCAGCAGAGACGACACTGCATCATACAGACTGAAACAGGGAGGGAGAAAGGGGAAATTAAAAACACCTTTGTGGCAGTATCAGGGCCCATTCAGACAACCAATGCCAGTCAGTAACCGAATTGAGCTCAGGCTGCTTGGACCAACTGTTCAGAGACAACCCTCACCATGGCAGTAGACCTACCTTTCATTCGGGGATATGCTGACTAGGGGCTTGAAGGAGTCTTGAAGGTAGACTTCTATGGTGAAGGAGAACAGAATAGGCACTAGTTAGCCTTCTGCCAGTAGATGATTAGTCACTTATTATTAAACACTTAATGAATGCTCTTACCTCTCCACGTCTCTATCTTGTGCTCCTCCAGCTCATATATCTGCACCTGAAACATTAAAACAGGTGAAAATGCTGACTAACAGAGCAAGGGTAGTGAGAGGCATGAAGGTCAACTGTTCATTAGATAGGATATAAGTGCTGCAAATCACTTGTCGCACCTTTCCAACCTCCACCAACACTGATATGATTAAAATGTGAAATTGAGATAGGGTATGCTATAAACAAGCAAATGTAGAAACTGTGGAAGACAAGGGAAGGCTGAAAGCTAGGACAGGCCTTACCAAAGGAGACTTGTAGTAGCGATGGAGGATGTTGATGAAGTCTGTGATGGTAAGCATACCTGCAGTGAGAGATCAGCAGGAGAACAGAGTCAACTCTACTCATTGTGCATTTTGAAATCTCCCAAAAGCCCAGGCAACAGAAGTTGATGGACTGTCTTCTTACCTACAAAACACTGCTTCTTACAGTCCCAGAGTGGTGCTGCTCTCACCCCATTGGACACCAGAGCGAAAAATGCCTTCTTTACCTACGGAGAGATTAACACAGTTATACACATAAACACAAAGCAGCATCTTGGGTCTAGATTCATTTGACAGGAAAGAGTTAAAAGCTGGATGTGGTCTTGCCTGCAGTGAAGTATCGAACACCACCAACTTGGAGCTGGTAGGGACCAGGTCATAGCACCGATGAGACTTCATAAACCGGGTGTAGACATTATATTCAGAGTCTGTGGAGAATGAGGAGGAGGAGGGGGAAACAGGTTCAATTTACTGTCCATTCATTATATGCATTTACAATTTTATATATACAGTGGGGAGAACAAGCATGTAGAGGTCTGTAATTTTTATCATAGGTACACTTCAACTGTGAGAGACGGAATCTAAAACAAAAATCCAGAAAATCACATTGTATGATTTTTAAGTAATTAATTTGCATTTTATTGCATGACATAAGTATTTGATCAGCAATTATTAGAAAATGGAAGAAGTTCAAGATGACGGTCAATCACCCTCGGTCTGGGGCTCCACGCAAGATCTCACCTCGTGGGGCATCAATGATCATGAGGAAGGTGAGGGATCAGCCCAGAACTACAAGGCAGGACCTGGTCAATGACCTGAAGAGAGCTGGGACCACAGTCTCAAAGGAAACCATTAGTAACATACTACGCCGTCATGGATTAAAATCCTGCAGCACACGCAAGGTCCCCCTGCTCAAGCCAGCGCATGTCCAGGCCCGTCTGAAGTTTGCCAATGACCATCTGGATGATCCAGAGGAGGAATGGGAGAAGGTCATGTGGTCTGATGAGACAAAAATATAGCTTTTTGGTCTAAACTCCACTCGCCGTGTTTGGAGGAAGAAGAAGGATGAGTACAACCCCAAGAACACCATCCCAACCGTGAAGCATGGTGGTGGAAACATCATTCTTTGGGGATGCTTTTCTGCAAAGGGGACAGGACGACTGCACCGTATTGAGGGGAGGATGGATGGGGCCATGTATCGCGAGTATAAGAGCATTAAAGATGGGTCTTTGCTGGGTCTTCCAGCATGACAACGACACGAAACCCACAGCCAGGGCAACTAAGCAGTGGCTCCGTAAGAAGCATCTCAAGGTCCTGGAGTGGCCTAGCCAGTCTCCAGACCTGAACCCAATAGAAAATCTTTGGAGGGAGCTGAAAGTCCATATTGCCCAGCGACAGCCCCGAAACCTGAAGGATCTGGAGAAGGTCTGTATGGAGGAGTGGGCCAAAATCCCTGCTGCTTTGTGTGCAAACCTGGTCAAGACCTACAGGAAACGTATGATCTCTGTAATTGCAAACAAAGGTTTCTGTACCAAATATTAAGTTCTGCTTTTCTGATGTATCAAATACTTATGTCATGCAATAAAATGCAAATTAATTACTTAAAAATCATACAATGTGATTTTCTGGATTTTTGTTTTAGATTCCATCTCTCACAGTTGAAGTGTACCTATGATAAAAATTACAGACCTCTACATGCTTTGTAAGTAGGAAAACCTGCAAAATCGGCAGTGTATCAAATACTTGTTCTCCCCACTGTATATAAAATAAAAATCTAAAAATAAATAAATGAATCCATCCAAAACCACTCATTCCTATGAGTGTTGAATAACTAATATATGAGAATTTTTTTGGTGAACATAGGTTTCATTTTGCCGTTATAATAAAATTGGAAGCAACATCAAAATAGTTGTGGAGATCTGTTGCAGCTAAGTCAACTACAAAACACACAATGCAATGCTCTCTCTCTCTGGTCAAGCTGGCTAGCTAACATAGCTACACACAATAATACCAAAGTCAATATCAGCATGTGAAGTAGCTAGCTAGCTGTAAAATCACAGAAACAAACTGCACTATCCAGATCAACTAGCCCATGTCCACTAACTTTTTTTAGATAGATTTTCTAGCCCATTGATTTTGTTGTAATGTTTGAGTCACTCAAATATCACATGAACACACGAGACATGGCAAAACGTGTAGAATTGCAAGAAATTAGCTTTAAAATGGCAGAATCTCTCCACCAAGAAGAGGGGTGTGAAGAGTCTGTCATGAACAGTGCTTGTGCCCATAGAAATAGACGCAGTGCGTGGGGCACAGGATGTTCCCCAATGCTGGAAGGGGGACCCAAGTGAAAATGATTTTGGATCCCCTGGTCTAGATTGCTATGGCAATGACCCTTTCTCACAGAAACACAGTGCGAGGAGGACTAGTCTGGGTACCAGTCTTTTTAACTTACATTCCACTCCTATCATTTGCAACTGGCATTTAGGCAATTTCAACGTTCAATATGCTGCCGGATTTACGGTGCAGTTGCTGATTGGTAGTTGGAAACAATATTTCCATGACAACTTTATGGAACATGGGGTGCACACAAATGTGGCGCAATATAGAATTTGAATTTTAAGAACAACAATAAACAATACTGTTGACCTACTGCAGTCAATCTCTTGTCAGAAGGCAAATAGTCTGGGTAGCCATTTGATTAGATGTTCAGGAGTCTTATGGCTTGGGGGTAGAAGCTGTTTAGAAGCTTCTTGGACCTAGACTTGGCGCTCCGGTACCGCTTGCCGTGCGGTAGCAGAGAGAACAGTCTATGACTATGGTGGCTGGAGTCTGACAATTTTTAGGGCCTTCCTCTGACAACGCCTGAGCATAAGGCAAAAGATTATGTGGTCTGATGAGACAAATTTAACTCTTTGACCTGAATGCAAAGCGCTAGGTCTGGAGAAAACCAGGCACAGCTCATCACCCATCTAACACCATCCCTACCGTGAAGCATGGTGGTGGCAGCATCATGCTTTGGGGGGGCTTTTCAGCAGCAGGGACTGGGAGACTGGTAAGGATAGCGCGAACAATGATTGGAGCCAAATACAGGTAAATCCTTGATGAGAACCTGCTTCAGAGTGCAAACGACCTTAGACTGAAGCGAAGATTTACGTTCCAATAGGACAATTATCCCAAGCATTAAGCCAAAGCAACGCTGGAATAGCTTCAGAACAAGAATGTGAAAGACCTTGAGTGGCCCAGCCAAAGCCCCTACTTGAATCCTATTGAAAATCTGTGAAGATAACTGTTCACCGCCGCTCCGCATCTAATTTAAGAGCTTGAGAAAATCTGCAAGGAAGAACAGGAGAAAATCCCCAAATCCAGATATGCAAAGCTGACACAGACATACCCAAGACGACTCAAAGCTATAATCGCCGCCAAAGGTGCTTCTACAAAGTACTGACTCAGGGGTATAAATACTTATGTAAATTAGATATCTGTATTTCATTTTCAATACATTCGCAAAAATGTCTAAAAACATGTTTTCACTTTGTCATTATGGGGTATGTGTGTAGATTGGTGAGAAACAAAATCTATTTAATACATTTTCAATTCAGGCTGTAACACAAAATGTGGAATAAGTCAAGGGGTGTGAATCGTTTCTGAAGGAACTGTATGGGCTAGCATACGAACAGTGGATTAATAGCTCTGCCTATTAACTTCTAATTTTACACATCTTGGTCTTCACTGTTCCCTTCTTGTGCAATTCATGCATCACTGCTGGCATGTCCACTGGCCTCTCTCTCTCTTCCATCCTTTCGGTATTCCTCTCATAGCTCTTGAACCAGTAGCCAAGCCCAATGTGTGTCCCAGAAGTAGCAATATAGTTTGGTCCCTTATTTTGAGCAATAAAAAAATATACATGTATAGTCGAGGAAAGTAGCACCTTGCTCTTGCTTGCTGCATATAAAATAGATTACAGTGTTCACAATGAACTGGCAGGGAAGTTTGAATGGTGAGAGCTTTTCTGGTGTTATGTGATCACATTGGCTGGTGGTAGAAATGCAATAAACGGGAATCCTCTGTTCTCCCCGCGCCTAATGTTTATGTTTACAATTAAATGACCAATGTTAGAATGTTTCCAATCAAATGTATGAATTAAGTTAGAACATTTTCCTATCAGTCTAATTTGCATAAACATTGTGATTGGATGATAGCTGTGAGGGTTATCAAATCAGGATCAAATCTTTGGACCTTCATCGAAATTATTAATGATAGAATGTTAATATTTGAAAACTGCCGAACGCCCAGTCTCTTTGGCAAATGACAGGACTGGCAAGGAGTGGAATGTAATAGCTGAACAGAGAAGGCAATCAGGCTAGAGGACGAGTAGTCTTGAAAACCTGACCCTAGACGTAGTTCCTCTATGCCAAAAGAGTCCATAATTGAAACCAGACCATAGCCACTGTGTTGCCTAGGGTCGAGTTTTCAAGACGAGAGGACGAGCTGGGAGGAGGAAAAACGCATTGCGCGATTAACCTTGAAGGAAAAATGAGCTGAATAATTTGCTTCACTGTTTAGTTGTCAGCTAAATATATACTTTGTCATGATGATAGACAGATGGATGTGTGTTCTAGACAAGCATGCCCATACCATCTTTTGGCTGATTTGGCGATCTGGAGTGCAGGTAATTGTTTTAAAAGCGTTATGAAATGTGATAGTTTGTTATCCCCCCCATCTCCATTGACGAGAACCTTATGATGACATAGCACGTCACGTTTCATTTCTAAGTTGGATTATCCATTTAACAATTTCTCCCCATCATGCATAGCCATCATGCATAGCCTAACTATTTATGCTTCCATTGCTGTCCTAATAGACAGCAATGAAAGGATAAATAGCTATGCTATCCATTAACAGTAAAATAAGGTTCTTTACCTTCTAGAAGTGGCTCCTTTTTACAATCCACATCATCAACAGAAAGTGGAATCTGAAAGAGAGTCAGAGTATAGGTTCATTGATTCATTTCAACTACACTGAACAAAAATATAAAAGCAACATGTAGTGTCAGTCCCATGTTTCATGAGCTGAAATAAAAGATCCCAGAAATGTTCCATACGCACAAAAGGCTTATTTCTTTCAAATTTGGTGCACACATTTATTTACATCCCTGTTAGTGAGCCAAAATAATCCATCCACCTGACAGGTGTGGCATATCAAGAAGCTGATTAAACAGCATCATTACACAGGTGCACCTTGTGTTGGGGGCAACAAAAGGCCATTACAATGTGCAGTTTTGTCACAACACAATGCCACAGATGTCTCAAGTTTTGACGGAGCGTGCAATTGGCATTCTGACTGCAGGAATGTCCACCAGAGCAGTTGCCAGATAATTTAATGTTAATTTCTCTACC